CTTACGTCGGAGATATGTGAATATTTCGAATCTGCTGCTAAGCCCCGAGCTATTTGTATCTCATCCTCGTGGGAACAAAGTTAACCGTTGCCTGAATTAGACGTATTACGTACAGATAGTCTTCTCACAATTATAGGCAACGTAATTTAACGCTGCCAATGAAGTTATTCGTCACGCAATATTGTACAACATTTATTTACGATAATTTTACCTATAAAAATAAAAAAGATGTTATGCGGGCATCATTTATGCGGTTGCCTTTAATTATGTCGAGGATAATGAATGTTGCGCCTTTCATAAATAATGATTATAAATAAAGCCTGGACTCGATATTGGAAAATATGCGACACATATTGCCATTAAAATACGTGTATGAGAATGGGAAAACCACATTTTTCGTATAATCCGTCAAAATATAATCAAATCGACAAAGCTACGTTAAATACTGATTTTAATTATTTCTGACGGTATTAATGAAATCTCATATAGGAAATACAAACAGATTATTAATAGTTGACACTCTGTAAAGTTATTAGTATGCTCATTATACATATTAAAAAGCAACCATCATGATATTATTGCATTATTACTCTCTAAATCTCGTGAAGTAAAATCTCACTCGAAGAGACTGAAAATTTAGCCTGTCTTGAAAAAAGAGTGAACAATACGGCCACTTTTGTTCAAGAGTGATAGATTTTCACCCTTTTTAAAGTGAGATTTACTCTTTAAGAATGAGATTCACTCCGAAGGAGTGAAATCTCAATTTCTTCTTTGGAGTGAGGTTCCATCTCTGGTATTACACTCCAAAAAAGGGATTGAGATTTCACTCCTTTGGAGTAAATCTCATTTCAAAAGAGTGAATCATATTTTCACTCTTTTTTCAAGACAGGCTAAATTTTCAGTCTCTTCGAGTGAGATTTCACTCCACGAGATTTAGAGAGTAAATTCACATTTAAATTATTTTCTTCTTCGTGTCGTTTTATAATGTTACTTGTAGAAATATAAATGTAAGCAGTTTTTTTTAAAACTATATATTATTGTATTTAATAATTATGGTTATTAATAATTTGTGATATTTTGGACAAAGGAATGGAAGACGTTGAATTAATCAAAGTAAAATTAATCAATTTAGCATACAAACTGACTATTCAGTATTCACATACACACAGAATATACTACATAACGGTTTAAGAAAGATATTAATTCATAAATCACTCGGTAAAAAGAGACCGAAATTATTCCCTTAAGGAGCAGGCAGTCAAGTTGATTTACGGGTTTCCATGAATCACCCGACGCTCGAGCTTCTCGTTAGCAAAAAAATGAAGAGCGCGCACGCTGTTAACGCGGCCGAGGGAGAATTCGAGACACTCCGTTTCATGCGCTCGGAGGAACGCAGAATATTCGGCGAACCGTGCAAAAAGAATGCGCGGACGATGCCGGGTGTTACGCGAAAAGTTCGCGTTTGCAGCTCGCACGCATCTTCGTCGCTATTAACATTTCATCTGACGAAGAAACGGGTTTGCGCGCCCGACTATACGCCAGCCTAGATAAGAAGATGCGCGCGTGCTTGTACGTGTTCGGGATGAGAGAAGAGCATGCCGCGACCCAAGAAATACCTTCCGCCTCTTCCTCAGAGTTGGCGTGCACTGAGTCTGTTCACGAGATTCCGCGGGTACGCAAGTTGCCGCAAGGGGCTTCCTTCACCACCGAGTTGGAAACTTGTGCTGACTCCGGGCCAAGCGATCGCGCCGGGCGAAGGGCAAGAGAGAGACGATACTTTGACATATATTTTATTTAGCGCGCCAAGACATAGTTTATGGAAGAAAGTACGGATAGAGTACTGGTCAGGCGAAGTAATGAGCATTTTATTGAATCCGAAGGAGCAGCAATTAACGTGTCATTTACACTGTTAGCCAATTTCTCTTTTCATAAATTTCATTTTTCTCTCTGTTTTTCCTTTGCGTTAAAGTTTCCATTAATATCGGTAATAAGATATCGGTTGAGAAATTAAAATGACTGAAATTAAAATGATTGAAATTAAAATAAGAAAAAATAAATAGCGGTAATTATACATTCAGAAAAGATTTTAGTTTTTAAAAGAATTTATTCTTTATAAAATATAAAGTAAAAGAATTTATTCTTTATATGTTTCTGTAATATTTTATTTGTATGAAATGAGTTATATTCGGAATATATATAATTAGTAACTAATGCAAAATGTCATTAAATTATAGCTATGATGCATTATATTTTTCATTTTTAATGAAATGTATTAATTGTTGTTAAAAGTTGCAGAACAAACTTTTTTATGTATGAATCAACAAAAAAATTTGTTCTATAATTTACTATACGTATATATTTAATCTAAACATTATTTTTTTTATGTTTTTAAAACGCAAGTATCATATTCTTTGCGAAAACGTAAATGTTACTTTACGTTTATCTGTGCCACATTCTGAAGTTACTTCTTTAATATGTTTGTATTTTTATATTTTACTCACTGTATATATAAAAGAAGTTATCGTACCGGCATGTAATATCCATGTCTTATTTTATAAACTCTACGTTTACGCGTTAAATAAAATATGAATTTCTTTATTAGATCAAAATTCACGGATGCAAGATGAAGTCTCTAATATACTAAGTCGATACCTTGTAAATTCTATGACTACAGGATTGTAGAGAGATTGTGAGGAGCTTCAGAAACTTGCTTCTAGCCCGAAGCGAACTATGCTCCGCTACGGAGAAAGGCACATTACTTTGATTCATCTATTATTTAATGGGGACGCAAAAAGTTAGAAAAAAGAGATGGAAGAAAGGGCGGTAAGTTTAGGACAGGACATAACCATTTTCGCTCCTTTACGATGGCCCCGCTTAATTTGCTGCGCGATTGCCACTTCTGCTCTTTCGTGGATGAAGACAGCTCCAAGATCCAATTTTACCTAGTTTTTCAACCTGTCGGTACCTCGAAGTTAGTACCTTTTATTCCTACAGATCTTATCCTTTCCCTTTCCTCTGTACCGTTTTCTTGACCTCGTTGCACCTCTTCACCTTCTCTGCAGCCATCCTCCACTCGATCTTCGCGTTACTCCTGTTCGCAACTTGCACCTCTCTCGCCTAACCTGAGAGGAAGATCCAGGCAGTGTATAAAGAGAAAAGGATTAACATGGTTGAATGTAAAATTAAATTTATTCCTCTGCAGATTTCCGTAATATCCTTAACCTCTCGAGATTCGTATATCTTTGTAACCGTTGCAAATCCGCGCGACTTTGACGTATTTTCCAATAACTGAAGAAGATATTAATTAAATTTAAAAGCTGAATACGAGGTGCAATTAGCGGAACTTCGAGGCGAACAGAATTATCGAAGGTTATTTTGAGTTTATAATTGTAAGCAAAAGCATCGTTCAAATAAAAGGAATTTCCTTATTCTTTTTGTTTAGACATTAACTGTGGTAGAATACGATTTTATTTTTCAAGTTTTATTCCCCCTCTGTAATTGTTTAATTTATTTGAGTTTTTAACGAAGTAGATGTTCACCGATTTAATATGCGAGCGATACGCGCGGGTTGAGCATTTTGCCTCTCCGACCTTTGCCTTTTTAATCCTCTGTAGAATTTTATCTCGGTTGTTACGGCCCCGCCGCTTGAATTAGTTAAAGAGCCTATCGGAAAAGTGGCGACAGACCGGAACGAACCAACTTGGGTAAAACACTCCTTTGGGTGTATAAAGCTGTATTAGGCGTCGTATCTTACTTCCTAGCGTCGTGCAACTTCCTAGTGTCGCTTGGAGACTCACGATCCTTCGGGAATTTACATGCGGTCGAGAACCATTGAGCGGGACAAAGTGAATAATCAATGTGCACAAAATTATATTACACATTATGACGTTCATTATTTGTGGAGAATCAGCGTTCTGCAAGTGCAAACGGTTCGAGAAAATACACGCGAACCGTGGAAATATTATCACTGTCATAACATCACTGTCATACGCATTTTGAACAATGAAGTTAATCCAACCAAAAGTGTTGTATAGTTGAATGTAGCAAGTTAACGCTTATCACATAATAATACTATTGGTTTACAAAAGCATATAATCTATCTTCATTTTTCATTGTTTTATATCTTAATTCGCTTAATTTGATAATCAAAACAATGAGAGACTATTTACTAGAGGAAAGTGGAGGAATGCGAACATTTAAGAGAAAACCGACAATTATTTATCAATTAATAGAATAGTCTTTATTCAAAAAATACTCTAATTACCTGGCTTTAAACTACAATAATTAACATTTATATATTATCGATATAAACTGTAATTTTAAATAAAAAAACAAAAGCTGCCACGTAGGACAATGTCGAATCAATTTTATTTTTTGTTTGAAATTATAGTTTACATTGATAACATATAAATGTTATTCATTGTAGGTTAAAACTAATATACTCTCTCTTTAAATAAATATTTCTATAATTAATAAATAATCGTCGAGTTTATTTAATTTTTCCCTTAGATAATAAGAAGGTTTATAATACTTCCATTTTCTCCTATATCAAAATTATTGCGAACATGTAATAATATTTACCTTGAATCCGTACGTTTTATGGTCACGCGTTATATGCGGTGCTAATTGTAAGCGTATATTGGACTATCATCGGATGCGAGAAATGAGAGGTTACCACTACTCTAATATACTGCAATAGTATTGGCCGCGTTTATCCCGCATTCGCAATTTCCCCAATCTCCCTTATATCTAAATGGAGAAATTATTAATTACACAATATCTCTTCTCTCTCTTGTAATAAAATATTGTATTTCTAGTAACTCTAATATTTTTATTTATACGCATATTATGTATATTTGTAAATAAGTTACAATAAATTAATATAAATCTTGAGACAATAAATTTACAATAACTTTATATATAAATAGACTTTTTTTATTTATCAATTAGTCACATTATAGAAGAAATAATAAGGTTATTAACAATAAGTTTAATGTGGCAGTTATTATTTTACGAAGGTAGATAAACGGCAATATTGTATAGAAACGCTGCGAATAAAACACAACGAAGAAAGTAACAATAATTTGGTGAGGTGCCTCGATTTTTCAAGCAGGTTCATTATTCTTTCTTGCGACTTCCTTTCTTTTTTTTTTAGTGTTCCTTCTGGTATTCCGGTTTCTTGATAAATAGTTCCTGGCAGTTTGACCTTTCGATGTGAATTCACGAGAAAAGACAAATCGATTCCGTTCCCTAGTGACCCGATCGTCTGTAACAAATATTACATCGTTCGATAACCGTCTACAGCGTTTTTATGTTTCCATCGTTTTTGGACGAGATAAAGAGTCGTGCAATATTAACTGTCTTGAATCCCATGTTTTTCGGTGAACGACCGACTGATCATTGCTTAAAGTATCTTACAATATAGAATAACGATGTTACGCCGTATAGGGTAAACTCGGGTATGATGGCCATAGTTTTTTAAAATGCAAAAAACATACATTTATTCTTGTTACTTTTTAACAATATTTGGGATATTACTTTCACTGAAGCTTAAAGTAACAAATACTATCGAAATTAAAGAGAAAATACTTAACAGAACTTTAATTTTATCAATTATTACAAAGTATGCATTGGCCATCTTATCTGATTTTTAAGGAAAAGATGGCCATGGCATTAAGAAAGATAGCCATAGTATTTATAAATAAATAATGAAAATAAAAGTATTAATTATAGATCACATTGCAATTTACGTACCTTTATTCTGTATGTAATGTTGATTATGGCTGCTTAACTGTAATTTATTAGACATAACAGTTTTTAGCAGACACGTGCAAAACTTTGCAGATAGTCGAAAGAAAAAATATTAGATAATATTTATAATATTGTTATTTTGAGCAGTGTACTCATATGAACTACTGTAAATATTGATTATCTTTAAGAATGACTATAAAAATGCACTATTTATCAATTATTGGAGAAATTATGACCTATAGCCATCTTTTCCGTATGGCCATAATACCCTAGTTTACCCTATAAAAATTTCCAACTTATCCGCAACAATAACCCTTTTTCTACTATCTCTACATGTAACGCGCTCTTGTGGCTGTTGTTACATTGCCACGTAAAGCGTGGGTTACGTTTCACGAAGTTTACGTGGTGGAACATAAAGTAAATACCACTGACTTGAATAGTTTGAACTGCGTAAACCGGGCGTAGCATACCGCGAGCCAACATGTATGTATCCACGTCGCTTTCACGATGAAAGGTTGAAGCTCCGAAAAGCTGTCTCCTGATTGCGCGTAACTGTGCCGGCGCCAAGATTGGTCTATTAATCTTACCATGGACGCACGCGATATCGCAGTTTCATGAAGAGGCTACGTCCTAAATAAATGCCGCCGCTCGAAACATCGACGCCATAGTGCAGAAAATGCAGTTGCGCAATTGCACAGTGGTGGTTGCGCCGGTGCCGAATGAGAAAAAGAGAGAAAGAGCGAGAGAAAAAAAAAAGCGACACGGTAGAATGGCTCGTATGCGAACTCCAACAATGAAACCTTCCTTAGCAGTGCACTGTTAGCGAAGCTCGAATGGAACAGCGGTCGTGGTCAATGGATGGAATTCAGTTATTCAAGTTTGAATGTAACAAAAAAGTTGAAAACTCGATTGAATCGCAAAGAAAAGAGTTGTAACAAAAATACCATAAAGTATAAAAGAATACGTTGTTTCTGTGATTTTTCTCGTGTAGCTAATATTAAGCTAGGAAAGATTTAACTTGTACGAATATTAACTTCTACATATATCGTAACAAAATTACAAAAATTAATTGTATAAGACACATATAAATTCGATGGCAAACGTTTACAAAATGTATATTTCGTTTATTATAAAGTTATCTTCTAGAATTATTATAAATTTTTTTGCCAAAATCAAAGATAAATGAAACGACGCCTTTTGACAAATTTATGCTCGCTATTAATTTATTACAACACGCCGCACAATTATTCGCAGAGTGCTCGTAATTGTAATTTCAAATTTTCACTTGTGCGCGAAGGACACAAAACATGCGTATATATTGGCTTTTACAAATTTACATTTCCCTCGTGTAATCTACTAGTCTCGTGCTCATAATGCAAGTAATTTTACTCTCTGTCATCTGTGAATGTAATTATCCTCAAGTTGCTCCGTGGCTCGCATTTATGAGACGCACGAAGTTATATAACTATTGGGGAAGCACCGTCACTGAACATCGTTAAACTCGCGACAAACGGTTGTCATAATCTCCAAGTTTAGATAGTTTCGTCACCTCGAATTCGCTGGAAAATATCATAACGTTATCACGCGTTACCATCCACAAAACTCGCGACGATTCGTATGCACTGACCTATATTGCATGTACATACACAATGTACGATAGCGTATTTCATATTTTTTTCAGTTAAAATAAACTATTTAATTTCGAATAGAATGTGTAATTTTTGCTAATGGATCTGGATATTTTAAAGAAGGGGACAGAAATACAACAATTGTAGAGAAAATTTATTGCATTTATTTGTTATGTTGACGCCACTTCTCTAAGTGTAATATGCAAAAGACTATAAACAGAAACTATTTTAACAAACGTCCATATATCTTTTCCGGTATGAAACACTTTCAAAAAGTAACAAAAATAAAACAAAACTTTTAATGGAAAAGCTCTATCTTTGCTCAGAGAGATTTTTCTTTTGAAAAAAGAATCACGAAAAACTACCATCACTAAATTAAATATTACAAATAATATAAGAGCCAGTAGATATATAATAATTGTCGGATAAAATAACTAAATATATTTATATCAATATGTTTACAAACTTTGTTCGGTCATAGGTTATGACGCACTTGTGTCGCGGTTCGCTTTTGTTATCGATAGATTTAATGGCTGTACGCGAGCCATAGAGCATCAGATTTATTTTTTAATCGTATAAAAAAGCACCATGAGGTATTTTAAAACAACATGCTGTAATTTTACACTCGTCTCGTACGGCTGAGTCGCCAGCTCGGTCGCCAGTTGTTCGACATTCTATCTTTGCATAGTGCAGCGGACAATTGTAGACAAATGGTCGAACGAATGACGAAGTTGCATCGAGTTTCGTAACCTTGTTCAACAAATTTTGCATTACGTTACACAATTTTTTTTGCTACGCTGCTTCTTCGTCACTAGATCAATCGACGCGTTATTAGATATTTTTGACCATGAAAAATCTCTACTTTTATAAATTTTTAATTAATATTATCCTAATGTAATTTTTGAAATTATTATTAAATTTTCCACATACCTATTTTATGCGCCATCATGTACGTGAATTTGAAAAGTTTCCCATATAGATACAACTTTTTGTATATTATAATGATATATTAATCCATTTTTATGATCGTCATGTTTAATATATGATAAGGGAAGATAAATTTCTCATAAGTCTCATAAGTTGTGCTGTCGAAGTGATGCTCGTCACTTGTGAACAGTGTAAACGATGTTCCTGGCGATGTATGTTCGTGTTCATCGCATGTCACTTGTCACTTCGATGCACCATCTCGTACATAAATCTGTGAAACTGTGTCCAAATGACATGTTGTGGACAAAATATTGCTAATATGTGTTGTTACACTTCACCACGGTGATTTGCAGTGATCAAGTGCTATCAATTTTACTAAGTTATTTATCAATTTTTTGAATATAAATTTATCATGTACTGAAAATTGACGAATACTAAGTTATATTTTCGAATATGAAGTTCTATTTTCAGATATTGAGTTGAATTCTTTGATATTAGAATTAACGTTGCATCTAACAATAATAAATAAATTTTTTGAACTTGTATCTCCAAAATACACGCTATTGTAGCAAAATGATACAAGTAGAATCTTGTAACTTTTGATATTTTATTTGCGTTTATATAGAATATATAGAATATATAAAATATATAGAAGATTTAATTCTCTCTCTTCTCGACTTTACAAACAAATATTTTGGAACAGATATAAAGGTCAATACTGTTAGCGTAGAGCAGGTATTCTCTGTACCAGAGTATCCGTCCGTTAAACGAGTCCAGGAGTAATATTACTCCGATATCGGAGTACTCGAAATCACGGGTTCGATTTAATGGATTTCGATTAAACTGATTCGCTATAACATTTTTGATCTAATCGGATTTTCGATATGTTTCACGTTGGCGCGTACGCTCTACGATTTCTGATACTGTTTCGCTGTTGATACATCGTTGTTATGACAACCTCGTAGTAACAATCGAGGCTTGCAGAAATTAATTTACTTCAGTTGATATCTAAAAAATGAATTGAATACGCGATTTCTCGATGTTTTAGTAACAACGGTACAAATATGAAGAGATTCGAATAGGAATTGGTAAATGAAGAAGTAAAATTCTTTATTAACCGCTATCTTAAATTTTAGTCACTTTCTTTATCCTCTGACATTTCCTGTGTTCTTTTACGTTACAGGACGACAAGCGAGGAATCTGTTACCGGGACAATCGTCGGGTCATCATCACGGTACGCAGGATGCATCATTATCGGACAGTTACAATAACAGTGAGTGACCATACGTTGACGAGCGCAATCCAGCTGGAAATCACTAGCAAAAGCTGCTAGATCCCGTGGGGATGTTGCGGGAATGCACTCGATGTCGAAAATCAGACTCGCATGGTTGCACGTTGCGAGTGTCAACCGGGAACGAGCATTATCGTCCTTGTTGTTTGCGTTAAAGGCCAAAATAAACTACGGAACACCAGCGCTTTCGCGTTACGTTAACGGTCGTTGCACGTGTACGGGACGCACGTGTGTACGTATATCGTACGCGTAGTCGCGGGCACCTCGTGAAATGGGCCATTTCGCGCCTCGGCATATCCGCTTGCTTGTAAAATAACTTTTCCCCTCCTCTCTACCGCACGATTCGATTCTTTCCCGCACCACCAACTTCGAACTCTTTTCGATATTACACTACGACGATAAACCCGTAGTGGGCTTATCGCCGTATCGGGCGCGTAGATTGTTTTATATGTATAATCTCTATTGAAAATAATCCCCTCCCTAGAGCATATACGCGCGCGAATGTCGTCGCCTAGCAATGGATTTTTATATCGTTTTTTTGCGCCATATATCGATCATTACGAAACGGTGAGCGCCAACAAGTTATTTTTTGTCGAATTGCATGGCTGCATAATGCAGGCAACAAGCCATATATTGCTCGATGGATAGCGTACGTCAAACGTTGGTGGAAGTAATAAAAAGCGATATGTGCGGTACAGTCGTTTTAATTTTACGAGCAGTTCGTTACTGTGTATTAAAAAGTGACATATGTATAATCATTTAGAGCAAAGCAATTTTCTGTTACTGTGTGTGTGTAAAACGCGACTGCGAATTACGCTCTTATATAAAGCGAGTCAGAAAAAAAGATATTTTGGCTTTTACGTATTATGGTTTAATACATATTACTGAAATGCGGTATAATGCAATATTATCTGTTACTTGGCTTCATTTTGACTATTTTTCGGCCTTTTGAAATTTAATTAAATTTTTACTTTTTATACAAAAAAAAAATAGATGAATATATTTAAATGAAAAGGGTCGGTTGCCATCGATAATTTTATATTTGTGAAAATATAATCCAGTTGAATATTGAAAGAACAGGTTTCTGTTACACAAAATTACTGTATCTTTTATTAGTAATTACAAAAATAGAAGTGCATGGTTCATTCTGCAAATATAATTTAAATATCAAGTAACTGACAAGATTATCTGTATGTATAAAGGTTACTAAATATTATATTTTATTTCTCACTTTATCTGGTATGATTTTTTAATATTGCGGCTACAACACGTTATTATCTCTGTGTATTTTATTATGATGCTCTACATTTATGACATATGATTATCGTTTTTATAAGTATAAATTCTCAATGAACAAATCTTTATTTTAGCAGATAAATTTTAGAAATATATTTATGAATCGAAATTAATTTTCCGCAGTTTTAACTCTTTAGGAATAGCATTGTCTTTTTAAAAAAGTTTTTTTACTATTTTTATTAAAAAAAATAATTTGTAAGCGAAGAATTGATCGATATCTTTAATATTACTATCGATATACAATTGATAGTCTTTCTAGCTTGAAGCACTGTACTCTCTAAAAGTCAAAATTAATAAATATCATTATTGATTCCAATGTTATATTTGTAACTGTGATCAGCAATGAATATTTACCGTTTTTCAGTAATAATACATTAATTCTCTCTCACTTTTAGAAAATATGCATATTTTAATGCTACTTACATTTTCAGCTCGTTAAATGTAACTAATTTATACAAATACCAAAATATCGAATTTAATTTTAAAATGAATGTTATAAATTTGGAACACTCGCTTCTAGAGAATTAATAATAATTTGCATATTTCTTACGGGTTAATATTAGAGAAACCCGAGGGTAGAGACGGTTCGACGAGCAGTCAAATCCCGACGTCAGATAAAAATATATCAGTTGCGTCACAAAAGTAGGATGGAATCTCACTCAGCTCCACCACATCTCGCTCATCTGTACCGCCCGCCTACCCATTTCGCCCACTATCGCCCGCTATCGCTCTCCTCTCGTTTCTGCACGTCCTCGTTTTCCCCGTCAGGATTCCCCTGCTTTTTTTTTTGTTCGCGAAAATCCGCGATGGAACCTCCGTGCGGAGAGAAGTTTCGGTATGCAACGGCTCTCTAAGTGCCCCTTCCCCAGCCTCTCCGTCGCCATCCTACGTCTCCTTCTATTTGCCCGTTTCGCGTCGATCGATATTACCGACACCCGTGATTCCGAAGCCGAGTACCGGCTTTCCGTAGCGGAAGGTAGTAGAAACGCGCGGCGAGACGCAATGTCGGTGTTCTATGGAACACGCGCGAATCATTCGTCACAATAGTGACGTGCTACCGCTTGACTTGCCATCCCCTTGCTGTCCCCGCAATTTCTCTCGTTCCTAGAGAGAAGTCTATCGCTACGCGCGCGTTCGATGTTTCCTTCCTTCCTTCCTTCCTTCCTTCCTGCTTTCCTTCCTTCCTTCCTTCCTTCCTTCCTGCTTTCCTTCCTTCCTTCCTTCTCTGCTTCCAGTCTGATTTCCCGTTCCACCTGTTTCCTCGACGAAGAGAATTCCCCTTTTGCCCGAAACGCGATCTTACCGTCGTCGTGTGCGCCGAGACTAATCGGTAACATGGGCACTCGGGAAATCTCACGATCTGACCAATTCTCCGGGAAAAGGAACGACAACTCTTACGCTTCAGGCAGAACCGACGTTTCTTTGCGACGTTAATTTGCGATGTTTCGCCTACGTAGATTTCTCATGAGATTTTTAATATAGATGTTCTTTGCGTTGCAATCACTGTTGCAATCGGCGCCAAGAATAGAGGCAGCGTATCAACTGTAATGCATATACACCTCTGCACGAATAAAATCTGTGCATATAAAATCAAATATAGAATCTATATACATCGTATTTATTTAGATTAATTTATTTCTTTTTTTCGATATAACATTATAATTAATTATTAAAATTTTCTCACATTTTGGTTTAACATTTTGTTGTGATGTATATGATAACAAGGCTGAGACTGAGAATTTCGTGTAACTGCCATTATCGCATTCCAACCGAGGTGAAGCGAATTCACTTTACATCACACAACCCAAAAAAGTTTTAATCATATCGCATTAATAACGTAAACTAATCAGGCACCAGTTAGACTGTTAATTAACTGTCTCAACTGTAGAGAGGATGATGAATAATTTAATGTTTACGGTTCGTTTGCACCCTAATCAACCGAGTCGCCTGCGTTAAGCGGGCAATGTGGGAAGTTGGGGTTGTTTAGATAAACCAAGGAGATGGTATTATTTGGAGGGAAGTTTACTCGTCGGGAGACAATCACATTCGTAACTAGACCTCGCGCTGTGAATAAGAGCTGAATAAGATCCGATTGTAATTTGCGGAAATGAACCGATTGTCATCTCGCTGATGTGTATGTGAATGACGATGTAAACCGGAGAATAGGTGGGTACAATTTCTATCTATCAGCGCAATATAATTATTAACAATGTTGGTAAATGAAAATATTTATCAAAACTAAATAATTTTGATTATTAAAGAGTTAATACTAATATTTTTATAAGTTTAAATAAGATTAATTGATATTAATGAATATTAAACATCTTTATTTTCTAGTATTGATATTAATGATGTATATTTCAATTCTTGTAATTGAATCATCCAAACATAGATTGATATTAAAGAGAGCTATATAAGCATTCTGTTTCAAGCCAATAATACTGAATATTATATGAATATTAACTCATGCGTTATATAATTATTTTATATTTACTTTAGAACGCTATCAATATTAAATAATACAATATTGTTATCGGTACATAAATTTTACGTACAATGAAATAATATTTTTAATTAACAAAATTTTCATATATTTTACATTTTTATTAACAAAATATTTATAATCTAAACTTTTATAGATACAAATAACCTAATTATTAATTCAAAAGGAAAAAAAAAGAATAAAACACTAATCAAATTTAATTTTGAAATATAGATTATGAAATTCAATGTCACTTTATAACACTTACCAATAAAATATTTAATACAAAACTACTTAAAAATTGAAATTATTTATCAAATTTTCTGTTACAATACCGAATCAGTCTAATTTGACTATACATAACGGGCTGAATTTTTAAAAACTCGTTCTGATCCTTTTAGTATGACAGATTGGACCTCCTGATGAAAGCATAACTCACTGAAAGCATAACTTAGCACTCAATGAGTTTGCTCATTTGTATATAAAATTTATGTGTTAATAGCGTCCCAAGGTTAATGAAGAATGTTACAAATTACCGCAATCGTATTGTAATAATAGAAATGCAAATTAGTACGAACTGCCATTAAATATACAAAACTAGAATATTAATTTACGTTTTAATCTATATCACGATTATGTAATAATACGTTATGTCGTAACATGATTGCGCCCGACGCAAAACTCGAATAACTCCAACACCTCGCAAACTCGGCATACCGTATTGCAAGTAATATTTATCCTCGTTAAGAGACAAAATCAAAGGCGATAAGGGAATAAGGGACGGAGTTAGACCGAGTATAAGAAGACCGTGCTTGAATCTTAAACTAACCGGCACGACTACCGGCGCATTTCGGAGACG